AGTTTTAAGACGTTTTGGCCTATGAAATATTATATTTACATGAAAAGCCGAGATGTATGCCACATCTGTCTATTTGCGTTGTAAACACTTGTAATTTACGATTTTCATATCTCAGCGAAGGCGCCTTTGTACAATGATTTCTTGCTGAATTTTATGTATCATCAGTCTAGAGAATTTTATATATGTATATATATATATATATATATATATATATATATATATATATGTTTGCACACGTGTCAATTGATTTCTCGTCAAGCAAAGTAAAAACTGGTGGTGCATGGCATCGTGCCTTAAGGTAAATTGCAGGAACTTTCCGTACGGTAAGGAAATATTCGAGAGATTTCAAATGTTTTAGATATTCAAAAAAGTAGATACTTTTTGAAGTTTTGTTTTTTTTCTTCCTTCTCCCATAACTAATAGTTTCTTTACAATATCGACACAAGCAAACTTATTTTACAATTAGATAATCCGTTCTTCTATTAAATGCTACTTTTTGCTCCATACTTCTGAAACCGCTGGAACCGCCATTGCAAAAAACTAATCAGCACGTCCTCCCATCAATACGAACCGAATATTTTTTGAATCATTCTAATCCGGTTCTCGGACTTTGGACTTTTTGCTCCGAAATGGCTGGACCTTATTTGCAAAAACGTAATTAGCACTTTCCCCTATCAATAGGAATCGAATGCTTTTTGAATCATTCAAATTCGTTGATCCGTGCTTCCGGAAACGTGGGCGAAATATTGTATCCACACATGCATATACACTCACACACATACACACACACATATACACATCAATTTATTCTAAGGTATGCCAAATGTTCAGAAACCTTTGAAACGTAAAAATATGCACAAACTTTTATTCTATATTTTTGGACGATTACTATAACTTACTCTATGGCGAATTAAAAAAAATATTAAAAATATTATATTTAGGGATCATAAACTAAACAACCGTGCTCAAAAAAAATGATTAACTCAAAAAATAAAATCCCGAAATTGTTGACGAAAATTTGTATCCGCACACACACACACACATTCACAAATACACACACATACATCCATATTTTCTAAGGTATGCCGAATTGTTCAGAAACCTCTGAAACGTAAAAATATGCATAGAATTACGGGAAGTCAGAAAAATTCTTAGAAAATTTTTATTTAGGTATCATAAACTAAACAACCGTGTTCAAAAGAAAGACTAATGAGACAAAAGTGGTCTTTTATCTTCTTATTTCGATGATGCCTGATTTAAGGTGATGAAAGATTATACATAATTATATATCTACTTTAATTTAAATCGAATATCACCACACTTTACTTATTTTTGAGATAAAGGTGATGGACCTTTTTACTCGTAGACCTTCAAGACCAGCTCTTCTATGAACTTTATACACAGAATTTTTAGTCGAACTATATACAAAAAACCGTAAATTATCAATTATAATTTTTGGTGAATAAATAATTTAATTCTCAGTGGGTTTATTTATTATAAATTATGCCTTTATTTTTGGTCATGTTATTTATTGTCGTCATTTTGGTTGATTTTTTTGTTCATGTTATTTATTGTCTCGTTAATTTATCAATTTATCAGTTCAATTAATTTGTAAATTTAATACCATATTCTAATTCATTTTTGTCTAATAATAAATATCTGAAGAGTAACGTCACAATGATACAATTAATTTGTTTGATTTGAATTCAACCAACTCAGATTCAAAGAACAATTAAAATTAATGAAGAAGAATGTTTTAATCAGAGCTGCGGCAACCTATCGATTAATTATATATATATATATATATATATATATATATATATCCAAAGTTATACACACGGTAATTCAATATAGTATTTAATATATAAAATATGAAAATCTGGCAAACTTTGTCAAAATTAATAATAAAATTTGTCACAACATCAAGTCTCTGAGGCAATTTATAATTTCTCCTTAAGTTAGGTTTTCTATGAAATTTTCAAACATCTATTACATCAATGTCCCAAGTAATTAATCTTAAACTAAGTTAATTACAAACTCTTGTCTTCCCTATCTATGAAAATCCATCATGTACTTTATGAAAATAATTTTAACACACAATTTTGAGAGCATGTAATTCCTATAGGTGTTCACATAGTATTTAATAAAGTCTGTTTTACTTAGAAATTCATCTTAATTATTGAATTTATGTGGAATGCTCAGGTAGTAGGAAAGTTTTGATAGCTATATGTAATCGTTTACATGAAGTTACAAATATGGTGCAAATGTAATTAGGGAGGATCAATTTTCCGACTATAGTCCAAATATTATTTTCAGTCATCATCTGCTAGTTAATAGGTAATTTTTCTCTAGTCTTCCTTATCATTCAAAGTATCCATTTCTACAACTTCCATTCTTTTCAATAATATACGATCTATTTTTATAATAACAGCGACCTTACATAACCAGTCCGAGGTCATAAAAAGTCGATTTGATTAATAAAACATCAATTATACGATATTAAGTGCACGAAAAGTCAACACGAAACCAACTTTTCATTCAAACAGAATTATTTCTGCAATAAACGATTACAATTCATGATGTAGGATGGTCGGAAGCAGTTCAAAAATAGGCTAATTACTCAGCAAACGCTGTAAATGATAGTATTTTTTACCATGTCGACCAACAAAATTGACCCTGAAATGATAATGTTGCACTTATCATTGGTACCTGGAATAATAAGGGAGCTGGTGGAGCTTACATAGACAATGATTTTTGTTAGGATTAAATTTGTTGGCAGAGCTTAGAGATATTAGAAGTTTAGTATAGTGCATTTTTATTAACTTTTTCAAAAATGTTGTTGTCAGAAAATCCGATTTGCTAATTTTTTGTTTGCTTATCGTTTCAAGTCATTCTGAATAGGTTGATAAAAAAGTATGAGTCTGAGTATTATAAGTCAAAATGTTCCTATTTGTCGAGGTTTAAATTTTAAAGCCATTTAATAAAACTTGATTAGGACTCACATTGACTTGTTTTGCGAGATGATTAGCCAAGTCGATTTTTTATGTTTTACAGACAAATGCAAATAAATAGCGATATTTTCGTTGATAATTCTGAACTGATTTTGAAAATTTAAAAACTACTCGAATAAGTTATCAATTTGTAAATTGATATCAAGTGGTGAATTGTTTTTACTAGTTTTTTTTGGTAAAGGTTGACCAAGTTTCTCCAAAATTGTTAATGTTTATTGGTGTTTTTAATGGTGATAGAAGTCATGGTCTTAATGATCATTTTTAATTATTATGATTCTACAAGAAGTGGTTTAATTATAACAAAATTTGAAGTTTGGAATATTAATAATCTTCAAGTTTCTAACTAAGCCTTCTGAACATTTTTGCACACATTAAAAAAAATGTGTGCATGTGTGTTAGGGTGGTCCTTAATATGCACATTTTCGAATTTCTTTGCTCCCAAGGGTTCAAATGTTTCGAAATTGATTAAAAAAAATTCTCTAAAAGTTTTAGCTCTTTATATTAACTTTTAGATATTGCGCAATTCAATCAAACTTCGTATGGAAAAAGAATGGAAAAAAATCGAAAATTTTATAAAATGTTTTTTTGGTATAACTTAGCGACAAATGTATTTAAAATGACAATTCGTGTCTATTAAAATTCGACGCTCTGCAAAAGAGGTTTTTATAATTTATTTTGTGGAGCGTCGAATTTTGAATGATACTCATTCATTTGTTCGTTAAGTTATATCTAAAATAATTTTTAAAATTTTTGAAAATTTTTCCATGCTATTTCAAAAGCTAAAATTTTCAGAGGATTTTTTCTTAATAATTTGGGAGCATTTGAGCTGTTGGAAAGAAAAAGAAAAAGAAATTCAAAAATGTCAATTTTGTAAACACGAATCAACTGATTTGAATGATTAAAAAAGTATTCGATTCGTATTAATGGGAAAAACGTGCTGGTTAGTTTTTGACAAAAGTAGGTCCAACGGTTTTGAAGATACGAGACAAAAAATGCCAAAAATGGTAACTCAGTTTTTGAGAGAATGGGTTCGATCGAAATAATTCCAAAAACATTTTACTTGTATTGACAAAATGAAGAACTATGCATTTTTGGGAAGGCAGGTCTATCGGTTTCGGATATCCAATAAAAAAATTATAAAAAATGCCATTTAGTGGTCAAAAATGAACATACAAATACATATGTTCATTAAATCAGATATTTCATAGAGATTTTAATAATAAGTACAAATTTTGTTCATATTTTTGTGGATTTTGTATCAAGATTTATAATGTTTGAAAAAAGTTGACATTTTCAAAAAAAAATGAATTAGAATAATCTAATTTTTCAAAAAATTTTTTTTCAAGTCCAATTTGTTCAGAAATTTCAAAGTTTTCAAAAAGTATTTTTATAAATTATTAATTTATTTGTTTCTACAAATTTTTTATCTTTCAAAAGTTTAAATTACGGTACGGTAAGTACCAGAGATTTGCCTTAAGGCACGATGCCATGCACCAGTAATTTTGTCACAATTTCAAAAATTTTGAATATGAATTCATAATGACTAGGTTGTTTATTTACACAATTTGCCTTAGAGCTAAATCCCACTTCTATTTAGTTGTATTCTAGTTCATATAATTATTAAGTGTTGTATTATATTCCGTTCGATGGAGAACAGTCTTAAATTGACAAAAATTATAGAATGTTTGAAATTTGTAAATGTTTAGTGTTTTTATGAAATATTTATCTACGCCTCTGGTACCCATATGAATTTCCCATCAATCGTCGGGTCATTAACAAGAGTCAAGGCCTCGTAATATCAAACAATGATATTAAACTCTACACTGGCCAGACTGGAATAGAAAAGCACTTTAGAAATTACAAGGACGATTTTTAAGAAGATGATACACACCTACGCATGCATACACGCAACTAGGTTGATCAAGAATGCAAAAAATAAATGTTTTGAAATATTCTCTCACATTGCTTTATTATATGAAATTACATTTATCAGACCAAATTTTCTGGTCTAGTATCATCCAGATCATCACCATCATCGTCAAGAACCGATCTACTGTCATCAACTTCATCAGTTGACCACTTGGAGAAAGAAACATTCAAACGTTTATATGCCTCCCTACGAATCCTTTCCATAATATCAGGATAAGGAGAAATAGCTTGCATAAAATCCTTTCGATCCAAAGTGTAAAGTTCGCAAGTTTCTATAGCTACAACAGTTGCCGATCTTAAATTATTTTCAGTGACCAGAACGACTTCTCCAAAATGGGCACCGTCACTCAAATGTGCGACTTCACGATTTTGTCCATAAATGGCTACAGTTCCTGATCCTATGAAAACATGCTGTGACCAGGTTGGCCTTCTACTACTATTGTATCCTGGAAATAAAAGAAAAAGAATAAAAACTAGTTGGTATTGGTATTCTGCCTTGAGGCAAGTTACATGAACAAGTTACATATGTGTAAATAATCGACTTAATCAATAAAAAATAAATTAATTTATGAGTTATTAAAAGTATTCCTAGTAGATTTATTACACATCATTGAAAACGAACGAACACGTTAATTGGAGTATTTTCTAAAAGCAAATTTTCAAAAATCAATAATTTTTATAATTGAACCAGTTTCCGTAGTACTTTAATGATTTAGTATGTTCATTAAGACCAAGCACTCTATCGTTATACCAAGTAAATCGTCTAATTTTAATTTTAACAAATGTAAAAAAAAACTACTCATTTTTTAAAACTTTGATATTTTTTTAAAATTAAACTACTTGTCGTAAGACCGTAATATTTCAGTAAGCTCTATAAGACTATGATATATATCACCAAAAAAGTTCTATAAAAAGCGGCTCAAATTTTTTTTTAACTGTTGAATAGATTTTCACCTAAAAAGAATCAGTATCATTCCCAACTAATATATTTCGAACAGTTTTTGTTTTTTTTAAATTGATTTGGTAGTATAAACTTAAATGTAGACGAAAAGTTTAACACTTTTTTTTCAAACTGCAAAAAACTGCTTGGCAGATCGTCGCACAAATCTGACAAACGATAGGCCTCATTGAAATACATAAAATGGCTCTTAAATTTCTGAAATCGGTTCAGGCATTTTTGAGAAAACGTCGATTAAAGGTCTAATTTTGACAAATGCCAAACAAACGATACTAATTTTTGCAAACTTTGACAAATTTTTAAAGTTAAACGAGTTGTCGTAAGGCCGTAATATTTTAGTATGGTCTATAAGACTATGGTAGTATCGTCAAAAAAAAAAATCATAAAAATCGTCAAAAAAAAAAAATTACAAGAAAATGGCTCGATCGATCCAATATCTTTCGAACGGTTTTTGAATTTTTGAAATCGATTCAGAATTGCTGGCTGGTCGACTAAATTTTTTTCACTTTTCTGCGAATTGAAAAGAAACGGCTCGCCCAATCGTCGCACAAAACTGAAAAACGTTAGTCCTCATCGAGATACACCGAATGGATTTTAAATTTTTAAAATCGGTCCAGCCATTTTTGAGAAAATGTCGATTTACCGCAAAAAATCCTTTCACACACGCACACATACCTTTTCCAATTTTGATCTCATTCGATTCAGAATGGCTTGAAACGTCGAGAAAACACAAAATTAGCGAATCGGAATTTTTTATGAAAACAAACTTCTCCTACTGGTAGTTAATAATTGTTGTGTAAAGCTACTTACTTGTGCTAAGTAGATCTCAGACTGCAGACAAGTCACAATACGAACCAGCAAAGTATTTGGAATTTTTTCGAAAAACGGAACACTGGTCACCAATCTTCGGCAACTGTACACTATAATCTCTTGTCTGAGTTGCGTAGATAAAGTATCCAATATAGCGTCTTCTTTATAAAAATTCTTCTGAAATTTAAACTCATAATAATCCAACAATCTATTCCTGATCACCTGAGGAAGTTGCTTGTGGCGTATAAACTCATTCAATTGCTGGAGCAGTGTTTGGTACTTCAATTTAGAAGCATTCGTATTTCTAACTAGAAGCAAAATTTGTGCAACTACCAGGATTTTCAGGATTGATCCAAAAAGATATAATACCATTGTCATGATCATGTCTTCGGAAGAAAAAGATAGAGACATTCCATAGTTATAAGTCGTACTGGCACTCATGATGTTAAAAAAGCACGTGATGTAACGATCATTTGGAAACTTGGGCAAAAAGTTCATTTGTTTTACCCAAGCAAAAGTTGGTATCAAATCTTCGACATCACCATGAGTCCAACGGGTGATCATGAATTTCAAACATGCCAACCAGTGGAGGATCACAAATAAGGCAAAACATTGTCTCAAGAAACGAGAGGTGTAAGATGATGTGTAGTAACACACTTGAAAATTTTTCATGTAGGTAACTAGAGTTATGATATGGAAAAACTTCAGGAGACCAAATATTATGAACGAGTTTAAGGAATGGCTTGTCTCGTATGATAAATGGAAGAGCAGTTCCAATGGTGCACTCGAGACTATGTTGAATATTAGGTATCCTTTAAAGTAATTAATAATGATTCTTTTGCGATCAAGTACTATCTCTTTGTTGGAGGTACAAAAATAACCAGTGTTAAGGGAGCACATTATGTCTATTATTGAAGCCATATCTACAAAGAAGCACAGGAGCTAGAAAAAAAAAATTCAATTTAGAATCAAAAATTTATGAGACAGTGTCGAATCATCAATCACACAATCGCTAAATATTGCATATAATATATATAATCAATGTAAGAATATATTTACCATAGCAAAATTATTAACCAAGGAATGTTCATGTTTTGGGTAAAAAGAAATAACATATGGCACAATAAGAATTTGAAGTGACAACAAAAGTATCATGATTCCTTCGAAAAGCATCCTGTAAAACACAATTTTTATATCAGCAATTATAATTAAATATTACATAACCATATTCATATAAAGTTTTATTCAATATCATCCACAAAACTAAAGTATCAATTCTCGGATAAAATAGGTATGGTATGGTAATGCTATGTTGCGGGTCTATATTTGTATGAGTTGGTAGTACCAAACTGTAAAAATTTTATGTATTTGCTGTGCAATCTGGTGGTTTACACAAACAACCTAACTTCACGCATGTGTTATCAAAGATAGATCACGTGACGCTTAAAGTGGGAAGTATTTTGACACAAAATCACGAAGGAGGATGATCTAGCAAGATATCACGTTCACTTATTTATTGCCTTAATTAAAAAAAATTCAAAAATTGTCAAAAGTATTTTAAAAAAAAATATGATTCTTCTAGGTACTAATAATACACGTGATGTTTGTGGGGAAGGGTGGAGGGGGAATTTAAATATCACGAGTATCACCAAGAAAGAGAGAGGTGTCCAAAAACCCTTAAAAAGCGATAATATATAATATATTTGACGTTTGCACGTTTTGTAGGTTAGGTTTTATGTATAAAAATTCCGATAGCAAATAGATACATTTTCGATAGTTTGTGATTACCAACTCATTCGAATCATTTCTATTTTATTCGAGAATTGGCCTCTAGGACACTTTGTTTATGACTTCTTCAAAATCAAATTTTTACCTAAATTTGCTAAAAGGATGAAAAACATAGTAATACTGATGCAAATGCCTTCTCCTTTCCATATGAACAGCTCTTTCGCTTTTCAAATTTGCCCTTGAAGCAGGAAAATCCGGACATACCATACAGTAGTTTCTAAATCTAAATGAAAAAATATTAAATAAATATGTTTTTGCCTAAATAATTAATCATTCATGTTGAGCCTCGAACAAGAAAAGTAATTACTAATTAAAAATCAAGAAAAAAACTACGTATACGCATAGAATCAAAGAACACTATCACGCGACACGACGGCCAATCACAGTCGACCCGTATAGAAATGATTTCATCGAGAGCGAATGACGAATCATTGGCACTTGACTTTTATCTGCCGTAACAAACTTCCGTTGCATTTGTACGGATTAACACCCTAGTCACGCCTAAAGAAGTTTTACTTCAAAAACAATTATTGACAACGTCAAGAAAATAATAACCAACAAAGTAAGGCTTTTTGATTAGAAAATAAACAAGCAAAATTATCCATATATAAATAAATCGTTAAATAATACAAGAAAAATGCAAGGATTGGAGTGTGTTATATATTACCATTATAAGTGAATAAATTATAAAGAAATTCTTAATAATAGTTTGTTGAAATGGGAATTGAGAAAATAAAATTTTTAACCTGCAAAAAATATCATTTTTTTAATATAAATATTTCCTATAATTATTACCTTCTACGTAACTGTGGTATTAATCCATTTCCAGGAATAACACGATCTAATGCATCTCTTCTATTAAAAATCGAACAATTGTGTATATGAAATACATTTGTATTAGACATATTTGTAAAAGGAAATTGTTTTTTACAATAACACAAATTGTAAGTAATATTAAACAAATGTATATTGATTTTGTAATATGCCAATATTGAATTATTTTTGTTTTTTTAATTCGATCGATAGTCAATTTGCCATAAATTTATTTCGACAAATGAAATTTTACAATTATCTAAGACTCAATACCTATAGTAATCTATATTTGCAAGTAAACTAATTTATAAAGACCAAAGATTTAATTTAATTAAAAATCAGCACTGTAGTAAAAACAAGTACATTTTATGAGTCATTATATCATCAAGTATCCGATTTTCTAAAACTAAGCCATTTCTTGACAGCCATTTTAATATTAGCCCGAATAAGTGCAGTGTCCTTTATTTTCTCAAATAAATGTGGATAAGGGCCCATAACTTCCATAAAATGTTGTCTGGACAATGTATAAAGTTCACATGTTTCTATTGCAACCACAGAAGCTATTCTAACTTCTCCTGTGACTAGAGATACTTCTCCAAAATAATCTCCATCGTACAAATGATTTTTTTCAATTAAACTTGCTCCATAAATAGCTACTGTTCCGCAATTTATGAAGTACATGCAGTTTCCAGGTTCTCCTGCTTTAATAATATAATCCTGAAAAAAATAATGATAATAAACATATCTTTTGACTAACAATTTTAACAACAATCTTTTGAATATTTATCATTTATTACCTTGGGTAGATATATTTCGGCATCCAACAGCTTGACGATGTTCATGATGAGATTTTGGGGAAAATTAGTGAAAAACGGAACATTTTCAACCAGTCTTTTGCAATTGGTCACCAATATTTCATGTTGCAAATGCGACGATAAAGAATCCAAAACTGTACCTTCCTTATAAAAATATTTCTGGAAACGATACTCGTAATAATCCATCAACCTTTTACTTGTTCCAAACGCCATTTGTTTGTACATCAAAAAGTCTTCGAATTGTTGCAGTATATTCTGGTATCTCAGATGAGAAGCGTTCTTGCTCCTTATTAAAATTATAAATTGCATAGTAATTGCAATTTTTAAACAATAACCAAACAAGGCCATCGCCATACAGAATGCACAGTGGTCCAAAAAAAATATTTTAACCTTATCATCATGTTGGAACCCTAAAATTGTGCGCATGACAACATACGAACTTAAAATATATCGAGTTGTAGTGTCCATTTGGTCAAATGAAATTTGATAAATCCAGTTAGATCTGGGAATATTATCCACATTATCGCCATAACGGAATCTGGTCATCATCAGAAGTAAACAAGTGAGCCAATGTATTACGATGACGATGACCAGGATTCGAAATATGAGTTTCGACAAATAAGTCAAACTCGATTTTAATTCTTTACTTCCGTGCAAATAGGACAAAGGGTACACAAGTGAAAAATTTTGCAGAAAATAAAAAATATGAATGGAGTAAACAAAAAGCTGTCCTCTTCACTTGGGGTTCTGGTATGTGAAGAACAAATTCTGCAGGAAACGATGCCAGGAGGTCGAAAATGAAGCGGGTCTTGAGGTATTTTTTGACAATGAGGTTTGACTCTAAAATGATTTCCAAGGAGTCTCGATCTAAATAACCGGTTACAAAAGACAGACAAATATCCAACAATCCTATTAAATCGATCACAAAAACTAAAAACATTGGAAATTGAAAAATACTCCATAATTTGACTTGGGCAAAAAAGTTATGACAAATGGTGCGATTGCAAGCTTCAGAATTATCAAGCATATTAATAACCACTGCCAGTATAACCTGAAAAATAAAAAATAGTGTTAGAAGATACATATGAATTTGAAAATTCGAGAAAAATCTATTATATTAATAAACGAAATATTATGATAAACTGAAAATAAAAAAAATAGTGATAGGGTAAAGTAGGGCTTAAAGTCCTCGGGTAAAAAGGTTCACAATCATTGGAATTTTTTAGTGATGATATTTTAAAGTAGAGGGTAAAAGATGTGTAACTAGTCATCATCTTATTCAGGAGATAAACGGAATTGTATCAATATTCATACCAAAAGTATTTTTTTTGGAGTTTCTGTGGTTTTGGTTTCTATTTTGATACAACCTTTATAAAAGCTTACATGTGGCTGGAGTAAAAAGAACCAACTAAACCTTTAGATTGTTTAAAGTTTAAATAATGAAAAATAGTAAATAAAATGTTAAATTATATTAATAGATATTTGATCTCTGCTTATGAATGTGTTTTTTGAAATACGAGATCAAGGTTATGTACAATGAAACCTCTGTAAAAAAATTTCCCATATATCTCTGTATATCCACATATCTATTTAAAATAAAAATGGCGTTGGTCTCCTTGCCTCCTTTTTGTCCCTTATTACCACGCCCATGGGGCAAAAGGGACAGATGACAAATTTTAGAAAATAGTAAACAAATATATTTCTATAATTAGGATGAAACTGGAAATTTTACTGAATGTAATTCGATAGTTGTTTGTTTGATACATGTTATGTGATGTCATGTAGTTCATTTACTTTAGACAATATAATCACTGTCTGAAAGTCAAATTGGACCTTTATGCCCCACCCTACCCTAAATCCAAAATAAATATTTGCATTTACTTTTTTAATAAAAAAAAAGTTTCTTATTTATTTTCTTACCGAAAATGACTAAAAGGATGTATAGTAAAATAGGCATAGTGAATGTGCCTCCTATTTTCTAACTTTATGGCTCGGCGGCTTTTTAAGATGTTCTTTTTATTGCAATTTTTCTGTTACCAAAGTACTTCGACGAATTCTAAAGAAAATAATTCTAAATATATAATCCATAAAAAATTAGAAATATGTCCATAAGAATTCAATTAGGTACTCAGACATAGTTAGTCAGGTTGACTAAACATACCAATCATCTACCAGGGAAATAGTAAATAAAATTTTTATAGAAAAATTAAACAAAAATACTAATGACCTATTTTAGGTCCACTAATGAGATAAAGT